AAACTAACCCATATTTCTTATCTTTGCTTTTCCATGCAGCTTGGTACCTTTTCTCAGTACAGCATGCCCATCTTGCTTCAGTCTGCATCTCTGGAGACTCCTCTGAATACATCCTTCCTCATCCCAACATCCTTAGTTTGGTCACCCCACCTATACTTCCTGCCTGGCTACCCGCCAATCAGTGTTTTATTAACCTATTTCTAGTGACAAATCTTTAAAGTGATTAGCAGATTATTCCACAGCATTTGCCTCAGTTTCTGACAGTATACTGTCCAAACTGGATGCAAAAGAAAGTGACAGTCAACCTTTGCCAAGACAAGGTAGGAAACTCCTTCAAAATTCCCTGCTTCTCAGCAAAGTCTGTCAGATATACTATGCCTATAGACCAAAGATGGATACCCCCAACATTACAGAAGAACTTAGTATGACTGTCCAGGCAGCCAGATGTCCCTTTTATTAGGTAAGATTTCACCCTTTAAGGGTCTTTGATGGAGATGAAGACCAGACAATCATAGTTAAAGTTTTCCTTAGTTCTGATAAAAGATAAGTTAAGTATAAAACTTTAGAGTCACAAAGATAAAATAGATAATGGAATATTTTCTCTAATTTTGCCAAATACAAATGGGCTAGAGGTTGTAACTGTAATTCTTAATTGATAACTGGTTTTCTTTTACATAACTTTCCTATGTTGAAGTTAAAACTTTCCTTTTTAATTAGACAAAAAGGAGGAAATGTGTAATATTTCTTTACCTTGTGTGAATATATGTCACTGTGGTTGGTTTAATAAAGAAGATGACTGGTTGTTAGCTAAACAGGATAAGGTTAGGAGAGGGAGCCAAATTAAGAATGCTGGGAGGAAGAAGGGCAGAGCCGGGAGTCACAAGCCAGATGTAGAGGAAGCAGGATATGTGGAAATGAGATGACAGCCAAGAGCCATACGCCAAAACAAAAATAGGAAGTAGGGGTCAATTTAAATGTAAGAGTTGGCTAGTAACAAGCCTGAGCAATTGACTGGGCATCTATAATTAATATTAAGCCTCTGTGTGGTTACTTGGGAACTGCTTGCAGGTCAAGAACTTCTTGCCTACAGAGTTCGATCTCTGGGACCCACCTAGTGGAAGAAGAGAACTGATGCCTGCAAGTTGTCCTCTGATTGCCACAAGTTTGCCCAATTGCCCACACACATAACTCACAGACAATAAATAAGTAAACACAGAAATACATATGTGTATATATATATATATGTGTGTCTGTGTAATTTTAAAAACTTTTATTCATCTCTATTTTTACACTATGGGTTTTGACATCTCAGATTATGCAAGAGGTTGGTTTTTATAACTTTGTCTCACTTCCCTATAGGTATGTATTTGTGAGGCGGGCATTTAGAGCATTTAGAATATATATAGTGGTATATTATTTGTGTTTTAATAAATAAGCTTCCCTGAAGATCAGAACACACAACAGCCACACTAGTCAGCCATACAGGTTAGGCAGTGGTGACACACACCTTTAATCTCAGCAACCACACTAGTTGCCATAGAAGTGATGGTGCAAGTCTTTAATCCCAGCACTAGAGAGGAATGTAAGACAGGAGGAGACAGGGCTCAGTCTCGATCTGAGGATTCATGGAGGCAGGATAGAGATTTTCGGTCTGAGGTAGAGATAAGAGCCACTGACTGGCTGCTTTGCTTTTCTAATATTTAGGTTAAAACCCAATATCTGTCTCTGAATTTTTATTATTCATGCATTCATACATATGATTAGAGAGTCGGAATTTAGGTAGATGTGTATCTATGAAGGAAGATCATATAAATACATCTATGTGTGAGAAAGGGGAGGAGTATTAACAGGATGGTTATTTCTCATAGGATTTTACAGGTAACTAATAATTGATATTTCCCCCATGGGCTATGTTTCCCCCAGAAGATATCTGTCTGCTGCTGATGTAACTTTGCCAGTATTTGTTCATTTCCTTGAGGTCCTAAGCATTAGTGGCAGATGAGAACAAGATGAAGGTGCTTAAGAGCAAAATGCAAGAGCATTAGAGCAACTAGATAGATAGATGTCCATCACAGTATCACAAGGGATGCAAATCCTTACATTCGTCAAGATTCAGACAAGCTAGAAAGCGACTTTACAAGACACAATGACACACTCCGAGTAGTCTCCCAAACTCATTTGTTACAAATAATACTGAGAAACACCCTTTAATGACCCAAGCAACAGATAACCCAGACCGCTTCCCTCAAAAAACGAGTAAGTAGATTATCTGAAAGGACATTTCCCCAAAGATTTCCAAATTGGCAATAAGCAGGTGAAATGATGTTTATGTTACTGGCTACCAGGGAGCAGAAAGCCTGAGTCGTGAGGTACCATTTCCTACACAGTGGGTAAGCTGGAGTTTTAAAGACGGACAACAGGAAGGGATGTAGAGAAATCGAAGCTGTTGTTCTCTGCAGGCGGGAAGGTGAAATGCTGTCTGCAGCAGCTGAAAAACAGCCAGGCAGCTTGTTAAAAGGTTTATAATGGTTACCACACAGCCTCTACTCATGGTGACTATGTAAGAGCACGAGATAATAGGGAAACATTAAAATATATTCCAATATTCATGACAACGTTATTCCCCAGAGTGGAAAATGGAAACGTCTCACAAGTGCCCAAGCTGAGGAGTGAATAAAATGTGGAGTTATGAATCCTAATTAATATTGATTAATCCTAATTAAGAATGAGATGGATCAGGACGAGCATGATAACATTAGGCTAAGCCACAGAAGTCTCTCTCTGTCTTTCTGTCTCTTTACACACACACACACACATACACACACACACACACACACACACACACTAGCCACAGGAAGTATAGATTCTATTTGTAGGGCATGTGCATGTCAGAATCAAAGGAAAGAAGATGAGTGATTTTTCCGCCTAGGGGGTGGGGCAGGGTGTATGTAGGAATTTGAGAGGTAATGGCTAAAACTGAGAGAAAATGTAAATATTCTACAACTGATTGGTAATGGCTGTTAACTTCATCAGATAAACCAAACTCCACTAACTTTTACATATTAGGCACATGAGTCACATTACAATCAATGTGGTTTATTTTTTGGTAACAAAAAATAAGAGAAAGAAGAAGAAGAAGAAGAAAGAGAAGAAGAAGAAGAAGAAGAAGAAGAAGAAGAAGAAGAAGAAGAAGAAGAAGAAGAAGAAGAAGAAAAAATAACCAAACCCTAGGTACCCATTCTCTCAACCTTATTTCAACTATCCTCATTCAGTTAAGAGCCCTTCATTTTCCAATTTGATTTTTTTCTCGAATTACCAAAATTGGCATACTTAGAAAGGTACCACTTGTAAATTTGTTAGATAATTTAAGGCTATGAATAAATATGCATTCAATTTATTAACATGATTGAAATTCCTAAGCCAGAATTCAGATAGCAAGTGTGGAAATGTTGATTGTTTAGATCTCAAATTTGTGAGATAAGTTTTCTCAATTAACAACATTTATGATGATTTAAGGGGAGGAGACTGGGGATTGATTTGGAGCCTGTTGGGTCACTGAGTGTTTCACAAACAAGCGCCCTCAGCTTCAGGATTCAGAGTGCAAGTTCTGGATACTCACTTTTCTTTTTAATTTTAGCTTTCTTTCTTTTTTCTCTCTTTTTTCTTTTTCTTTCTTTCTTTCTTTCTTTCTTTCTTTCTTTCTTTCTTTCTTTTTTTTAAGTTTCACTCTGTAGTCCAAGCTGGGCTGTAATTCACTTATGTAATCCAGGGTGGATTCGAACTCATATCAATCCCTCTGCCTCAGCAATGCTGAGGTCAGAATGAATGCTGAGGTCACAGACTTGAACCACTGAGACTTAGGACTTGTTTCTTTCCACCAAAGGCCCCGGAAAGGGATTTCGCTTGCCAGGAAGTTTTATCTGAGAGGTTCGGACTCTCCGCAATGGCTTCAGGGTAACTTCTTGGATCCTCCACGTTTCCGAATCCTAGTGAAGACAGGTGGACCAGACTGGGGACATGGACCTATCAGCTGGGCTCTCTGTGCTGCCGCTGCTGCTGCTGTGGTCCATGGCCCCGCAGGCGCGGCCGCAGCGTAAGTGCGGGAGGGGAAAGTGGGGGGTGTGGGACACAAAACCGAAAGTGATTTTTCTTGTTGCACGGAGTTTGTCACTGCAGAGTGCCAACGCCTCCCTCTGCTGTCCCCCATCCAGCTCTCCAGATGCAGACCCCCAGGGGACATCTGCCACACAGCTAGCTTTTCTAGCTACCCCAGGGCACATTTCTCCCCTGCTCTGGCCGGGTGGGGTGTCGCCATCTAAGCAAAGGTGAGGGGGTCACGTTGATAGAGCTGAGCCTGCGGTTTGTTTTAATTGTGAGTTGCGCTATCCGACCTCGCCTACTCACCCGGGATCTGAAGTTTTTCACCAAGAACGGCCACAGTTGTCTTTTTGGCGTTTTCTCTTCCTAACGCGGAGAAAGACTCCTGTTTGCCCTGTCAGCGCTGGAGGTGCTGGGTGGCACCCCACCCCCTGTATTACTTTTTGGTGAGAGGAGGTGAAGGTCACTTGGAGTGGCAGGCATGGAGGACGTTTCCTCTCGCTTGGAAATTGTTCTTTCATCTTGAAAGGTTGTCTTTTTTATTACAAATGGGTGTAATAGTGTAAACAAAGATTTGAGGGCAGAAGCCAGGGCTCTTATGATTGGTAGCAACTTCCCAATTAAGAAGTCCAGAGGTGACGGAACAAATCTATTCATTGTGGCCATATTGGGGAGATCAGTGGCCCAGAATGAGTCCATCTTCAGGGTCCTGACACGACGTTTAGGTTTAAACAGAAAGCAAAACATTCCTTTCGATGGACAGCTCTGGATCCTACAACGGAGTCCATACATTGTTCATTGTTAGGACATTACACAACATTTTTTTTTCTGCCTCAGTGTGCTGCCTTGACGTCATAAGATAATTAATTACCCTCATGTGGGGGTGGAGTGGGGTGTGGAGGGGTTCCTGTCCTGAGGCTTTGATACTCGTGTAATACAAGGGGACTTCAGGTTTGGGACAATATGATCTTTGTGTTTTAAGACTTGGAAGCAGGTGAGATAGGCTAAGAAAAGAGTTTAGGAGTCTGAAGACAGGAAGGCCACTGAGCTAGGCTTCCAAACCCTCTCACTCACTGAGGGTGGGGGGAGGGGCCAGGGTCTTTTGGCAGAGTCACTTTCTGGACACCTGCAGGACCAGAGCAGTGGTTCTCAGCCTTCCTAATGCTGCAGCCCTTAAATACAGTTCCTCAGGTTACAGTGACCCCCAACCACAAAATTATCATCATCATTATTGCATCATTATTGTTTGTTTGTTTGTTTTTCTTTTTCGAAACAGGCTTTCTCTAGGTAACAATGCTAGCTGTCCTAAAACTCGCTCTTGTAGACCAGGGTGGAACTCACAGAGATGCTCCTGCCTCCACCTCCTGAGTGCTGGGATTAAAGGAGCGTGCCACCAACACCCGGCCACAAAATTATTTTCGTTGCTACTTCTTCACTATAATTTTGCTCCTGCTGTGAATCCTAGTGTAAACATCTGGTGTGGAGAATCTGCTATTGGATCCCCTGAAAGGCTGGTTCGACCCCAAGGAGTCTTGACAGGCAGATTGAGAACCACTTTGCTAGAGGCCCTTGTTCAGCTGGGCTTTGCTGATTTGCAAATTAACAAAAGATTAGCAGGCTTTTTCTAAAGAATGCCAAAGTGCTACTTAATCCCCTTTATAACATTTGAATCTGTGATCCTTTTTGACTAGTTATGTACTGGGAAGCAGCAGTTATTGCTAGTTCGCTGACTCTCCGCTTGGATCTTTCCTCAGACTGAAAAACAAGTGAAGAGACTCAAATCCGACCTTGCTTTATTTCCACACACCCCCTGCCGTGGGGGTGTCTCTCTCTGTAGTTCAGGATGGCCTGGAATTCACCTGTGCACACCAGGATGGCCTCAAAGCTGAGACAATTCTCCTGCCTCAGCCTCCAGAATATTAGGGTTAAAAGAGCGAGTGAGCCCCCTACTCCAGGTCAACAAGCATTTGTGAAGCGCTGACCCCATGCCGGGTGCCATTCTAAGTACTAAGGTTCAACCTTGCTCAAGGCTGCTCTGGAACTGAGAGAAACTGGGGAAAGCCCCACGGGGAGAGCTCTGGAACTGAGAGAAACTGGGGAAAGCCCCACCGGGAGAGTTGCCGTCAGCTCCTTTTCCTGGAACTCCTTCTGTTTGCTGTCCTGAGTTCTGTGTCAACACAGTCGCCAGCGTTTCTCGGCCAACATCTACACGTGGAAATGCTCAGACATGGAAGTAGAGAAAACTCACTACCTCCCGCTCGTTAGGGCTTTCATCTTTACAAATCGAGCAGCAACTCCTGAGCTTGGCCCCCCACAGTTGGAGAAACCCAAGGTCTTTCCAGAATCTGGGTTTCCAGGTAACCCCTCTACTCAAGTGGGGGACATCAAGATGGGCAGAGTAAGAGCTAAGGCCAGAGCAGCTAGGGTTGTGCTGGGAAGGGAACTGTATAACTCTACAAGGTGGCCTCTCTCAGCTTCTAGCAGGCGGGCGCTGACCCAGGGGTGTGGAACCTCTGCCTTCTGATCCTGCTTGCTGCCCATTCTGAAAGCCGGCTTGCTTACTTCCCCAGGGTCCCATTCTCTGTACTACTTCTTCATGGGTGCCTCCGAGCCAGACCTTGGGCTGCCCTTATTTGAGGCTCTGGGCTACGTGGACAACCAACTCTTCGTGTCCTACAATCATGAGAGTCGCCGTGCGGAGCCCCGGGCCCCGTGGGTCTTGGATCAAACCTCAAGCCAGCTGTGGCTGCAGCTGAGTCAGAGCCTGAAAGGCTGGGATTACATGTTCTTTGTGGACTTCTGGACTATCATAGACAACTATAACCACAGTAAGGGTACGTGGAGAGGGGAGTCACCCCCCCCCCATGGCAGTCAGAGTGAGCACAGCCCTGTTTCGCTACCTTGAAGTAGACAACGGTGGGTGTGAGACCCTGGGGAAGGGCACAGAAGAGGGCGACAGTTGTCTGTCTCCGATCATTCTATACTTGGGGAGGGTGGAGACCAAACCCCCTTCTTTGTTTTCAGTCACGAAGGTGGGAGTGGTGTCCGAGTCCCACATCCTGCAGGTGGTCCTGGGCTGTGAGGTGCACGAAGACAACACCACCAGCAGCTTCTGGAAGTATGGGTTCGATGGGCAGGACCACCTTGAATTCTGCCCCAAGACGCTGGAGTGGAGAGCAGCAGAACCAGGGGCCTGGGCCACCAAGGCGGAGTGGGAAGAGCACAATCTCGGGGCCAGGAAGAACAAGGACTACCTGGAGAAGGACTGTCCTGAGCAACTGAAGCAGTTCCTGGAGTTGGGGAGAGGGCTTCTGGGGCAGCAAGGTATGAGGACCCCTACCCCGGCCCCAAGCTCTGGAGTGGGGGTAGAGGGGAATCCAGGGTACCAGGCCAAGGTGTCAGTCACTCCCGAGTTTTGAAAGTACTTTCTCTGTCTCATACTTTCTCAGTCTTAAGATTTCCATATTCCCATTTTATTCATTTCCTTTATTTTTCTTTAGACAAGATCTCACTTTGTAGCCCAGACTGACTGACTCAATACATAACCCAGTCTAGGCTCAAACTCGAAGAAAACCCCTGCCTCAGCTTTCCATGCTCTAGGATTATAATCATAACCCACACCTGGCCTATGCCGGCCTGCCTTTTTGTCGTCGTCGTTGTTGTTTGTCTGTTTGCTGCTGTTTTGGTTCTTTAGATAGTCTCTCACACTATCTAAAGACACTAGGTAGTCTAGACTGGCCTACATCTCACTGTTTAGGCCAGACTAGCCACAGACGCAGCAATTTTCCTGCCCCAGCTTCCCAAATCCTTGATTTCAAAGCACGAACCACCATTTAGGATGGAGGTTTCGCTTCATACTGAGGTGTTAACACAACTATGAACCCAAACTTAGTTTCTTCATGCATGTGGCTTAAAAGGGAGCATCGGTACCCTTCCCGTGATGTAGCCACAAAGCCTGTATATATTTATTATGTTTTTAAGAATACAGAAATATCAATTATCAGATGAAAGTACCAAATATGGCAACCCATCTGAGCAGCAAAATCTTTTTTGTTTTTAATTGATTGCTGGGAATTGAACTCAGGACCTTTGGAAGAGCAGGCAATCCTCTCAACCTCTGAGCCATCTCCCCAGCCCCCCACCCGCCCTTTTTAAAGCCTACAGCACCTGGTATTCCCAGGCGGTCTCCCATCCAAGTACTAACCAGGCCCGACCCTGCTTAGCTTCCGAGATCAGACAAGATCGGGCACCTTCAGGATGGTATGGCCAAAGATGTGAGCAGCAACATCCTTAAGGAGTTAAAGATTATTCCCCAAATCTAGTCAGTCTCACTGATGGCTCCCTACTTACAAAGGTCCTTTTCTACAAGAATGCTTAGTAGGCTGAACCAGATGTACTGAGGGTCCAAGCCTAATGTGTGTCACAGAAAGAGAAATGTCGCCTGCCTGGTCAGAGGGCTTGGGCAGCTGCCGGTGTTAACGGGGAGCAGACAGAAGCGACTGTTCTCCGCATGGCCCTTCATTAGCATTAGTTTTTGAAGCCATTTCCAGGATACCAAGCATCTCCTCCAGCTGGCTTTTCTGAGAAGGGTGTGCTCTTCCTACCCACAAGAGAAAGTGACATTTTCAGTCCTCCTGCCCAGGGTAAAACAAGCCCCTCTCCTTCCTCTCTCCCTCAAGTGCCTCCTTTGGTGAAGGTGACTCATCACTGGACCTCTGCCGGGGCCTTTCTAAGGTGCCGGGCTCTGAACTTCTCCCCCCAGAATATCACGATGAGGTGGCTGAAGGATGACCAGCCACTGGATGCCAAGACCCTCACCCCTGAGGATGTGCTTCCTAATGGGGACGGCACCTATCAAAGCCAGGTGACCTTGGCTGTGGCCCCTGGTGATGAGACAAGGTTCACCTGTCAAGTGGACCATCCAGGCTTCGACCAGCCCCTCACTGTCGCCTGGGGTAAGGATGGGCATGCAGGGCAGTGATCATCTGTTGTAGAGCTGATCCCCTTGGCTCTGAGCCACAGGTCTGCTCTGGGCTGGGATGTGGCAGTAGTGGGCGTGAATTTGCATTTGTCATTTTAGAGCCCTTGCCGTCTCGGGCCCTGATTATTGGAGTCATCAGTGGGACCGCCATTGGTGTCCTCTTCCTTGTTGGGGCTTTGTTCCTGTTCTTAAGGAAAAGGAAGGCTTCGGGTGAGTAGGAGCATGGGGGAAGTGTCATGGTACTTCTTCCTCCAGGACATGTACTTCTGCAGAAAATGAGGCTTCTATAGGAAGCCAACCCTCTTTACTTTCTTTGCTCTGAGAGTTCCAGAATGGCCCTGGGGATGTTTTGTGTTATTTTGTTTTCCCCAGATTGGAAGTTCCTAACTCAGGAAAAGCCTTCTAGGCACCTACTATTTTACAGGTGTTATTTAAGGCAGAGTCAGGGAGTCGAGCTTGAGAAAGCCACTAGGTGAGTCTCCAAACCCAAATCTACTGTGGAAAGGAACTTATGACCAGTAGATGCAGCTAAAGAGGACCCAGAGAATGAAATGATTTAGAATGTCACTCTAAGAAATGCCCAGATTACATCCAGAAAGGCCGTGGAAAACAGCTGTGGTAGTTTGTGACCCTAATCTTAGCACAAGGATTGCCCGCAGTTGAAGGGTTGTGAGACTCTCTCTTAGAATGCACACACACAGAGAACAACAATGCTGAGTAAGAGAGTGTATTACTGACCCTTGTCCCCGACTTTGTGTGTACCTCATTCACAAATTGCCCACCCCCACTCCAGCTCTGAGTATCTATAGCATTGGAAAAAGAGATGGAGACAGAAGCCAGCCAGATCTGTGGAACACTACACTGTGATGCCTGAGGAGCTAGTGAAGTCACAAAAGCAGAAGGGAACAATGTCTGTGTTAGCGGAAGATTGTGAGGGGTGAGGGAGGTGACAAAGAGAGCGGTTAGACAGCTACTGAAACAGTGTCTACTAAAAATGGAGAGATAACCATTTCTGAACTGCAGTGGAGTCCCTGGATTCCACGGTCAGGGGTGGAGGAGGTAGAAAGGGACAAGACAATGTGATGCGTGGCCAGTAATTCCTCTCCCTGGGTCTCTTGTCTTCCCAAAAGAAACCATGGGCGACTATGTTTTAGCAGAGTGTGAATGACCTTCAGCCTGCAGTCCCATGAAGGGAGGAAACTCAGCCGAAGACGTAGAGGAAGCACACTTGCTCCTTTCTAGAACACAGTTGGACCTAATACACAGAAACTGCCTGAGGAGCTCTGCTCTTAGCTTTCCCTGTTCACTTTCTGAAGATGATTCCCCCAGTCAAGTCTTTGAGTTCCCGAACAACGCTCCAGATGCAACCTCTCTCTCCAGAAGGGTCTCGTGAATCTCCAGCATCCTTCGTTTTCTCCATCCATCTGGATTCCATATGTGTACTTCTTAAAAGGGCTCTCTAAATCTGAGGATACACGGTTCATTTTCACATCTGAAGAAGCTATGACTCTTCATCCTGGGATGCACCCTCATACTTGTGCCAGAATTTTGCACATGTATCCTAGAATCCAGATCGACTGTCCTTTGAGCCTCTCCACCTGTTACCTAGTGATTCCTCTGTCACCAAGCTCTGACTTCTCTGACACTGGAGTCTTCTATGGGTCATCAATACAGCTGTGAAGGCTACACACTGTACAACCCAAGGAGGCACCCTCTGAGAAAATATAGATGTCTGTGTGCACAATGATTGCTGTGTGTTTGTGTTTACAAAGGTGTTGAATAGGTTTTCAGAGATTCATATCAGATGCATATGTGATACGATGCCGGTGAAGTACCTGCTCTCCGTGTCCTGATAAGAGACATCATGGGTGATTATAGTAATAAAGTGTGGCTTACATTTGTGAAGAAGAGCTCGGAATTATCCTCTGATCACCTGCTAAGCATAAACCACGCTTGGAAGTCCCAATGTTTTTATGCAGTAGAAATTATTATCTGCGCCAACATCCCTTTTCTTTAGTTTTTCATTTTAGATTGTGGAGAATACAGTGGCTCACAGCTCTTTGATGCTCCCCGTGTACTGGAATGGTTGCATGAAGTGAGTGGAGAATGAAATCGACTCTTTTCTTCTCTCCTGCGGTTTCTTTTCCTTGAGGTTGACGCACATGATGAGAAATAGCTTCCAGCATTCTCCAACCCTCAGCTACCATTTCAGTCTCCTGTGTCCTCTGGTCTCCGGCCTTAGTTCAGTTAAAACCTTAGCTAATCTGTCTGGTGTCCTTGAAGCTGATGCCTCTGGAATCAGAACCTTCAAGTGACTGCCCTGGCAGCCAATAATATGTCAATCTATCTCATCTTAAGGAAGTAAAATGGAAGCTGGCAGGTGTCCTGGAGAATGCCAGGAGTTGCTGGGGTCCTGATGCTCATTCCTACTTATGCACATTAAAAACAACAACAACGACAACAAAAATGTGATCCAACTAGACAACTTAGAAATTGCTAGATTGCAGAACAAAGGGTCATCTGTTCATTTTCCAAAGTCAAGCCTTGTGTTTGCCTTGCGTTTGTATAAGTATGCCTATCTGTCTTCACATGTGTGCTCACATATGTGAACATGTGTGTGGGCACATGTCTGCATCCAGAAGGCATGTGTTCAGTGTCCTCCAATTCACACATTTGCCTGCATGACTATGCTATAAATTCCATCTTAAAGACCAAGTGCCCCAGAACAATAGCTATAGTTATTTTTAATGAAGACTGAATAATGAGACTGACTTCAACTTTTGATTGTTGTTGTTGTTTTGTTTGTTTGTTTTGTTTCTGTTTTTATTTTTATTTTTTTTTTACCTTTGGCTTATTTTCTGTTTGTGAAAGCTAAGTAGAAGAAAACAGCAAAGTTTGATAGATAAACTTAGAGCTATCATTTCCTCAATGCGTTACAAACTCTTCTAGCATCTGGTATATTGCCACGGTATCATTCCCATCATAATGTGTGCAACTAATAAACTCATGATTTGGTGAATATGCCATTTTTTATATTGTACTACACAGCTTTATTGAGATTCTTGCCCATCTTATGGATGTAGTTAACTCATATCAGTTTAAGGATATTAGTATCACTTCTAATTCTGCCTTTTTGTTGTTGTTTGGTTTGGCTTAATTTTTAAGTTGGACACCACATAGTCCAGGATAGCATCAAACTCCCTCTGGGGCTCAGGCGTGCCTTAAATTACACCTACTGTAATTGGGTACAGACAGGTACTTTTTCTTCACGTTTTATAGAATACTTTCCCCTTTCCCCGCACTGTGATAGCTAGCTAGATGCTTTTCCTTTGCTGTAAGGACATTATCATCTGAGTTGTAAGCACGTGTTTATCTGCAAGATCGACTGAAACACTGTGAATTATTTCTCTCTAAATATCACTTTGTTCATAATAGAATGCCACGAGGCGTCCTCCGCCTCCTTAGGGAAATGTTAAGTAAAAACTGGTATAAGAATTAGACCGCTGCACAAATGACGCATTTGCATTTCGATGTGTTTCTTAGGGTCATTTCTGCCCTTTTCATAAAATTTTAGGGGCTGCGTTAGAAGAATTAAGACTTACCTTTCAAATCTTCCTCCACCTGTGGTTAAACGGTTACATACCGCGGTAGGTTGGAGGAAGGCTGACACCTGGCGGCTAATTTCAATACATCACAGTTGGTTGTTAAGAAGTTGAGGACAAAAACATATCCCTAAGGGACACTGTTGGATTAGGGCTGATGGAAGCAGCAGCTGTTGTCCAGAAAAACACCAGGTATGTAAGGCAGCACCTGGGATGTGGATTCAGGGACATCAGAGTCCAGCATATCCTCAGCCATACTGTGAGTTGGAGGCCACAAAAAACTTTCTTAAAAGAACAAATAACAATGTGTGTGTGTGTGTTTGTCTGTGTTTCTGTGTCTGTGTAGAAGGTATTTTTTAAAGAGAAAGTGCATGAAAATTATAGGACACAGAATTATGTACTAGATACTGGAAATACTGGTATGGTGAACAGAAGGCAAACAAGAAGCCAGTGGCCTTCATCAGTGATAGGCGCCTTCTGGGAGGCCCACCCTGGTACCACTTCCTCTCAAGTGTGGTGATGAGAAAGAGAACTAGCTCTTTCCTGTCTCTCAGCACGGCTCATGCTGCAATCCCTGGCATATCTCAAAGTGAAAGGTTGCACGCACGGTGCCAAATTTTGTCATAATGCTACTTTTTAGTCAATACCTTTATTTTTTTTTTTAATTTAATGATGACTATTAGGCCACTCGGAACAGCTCTAAGCATGAAAGGTACGTGGACAGACAGACAGACACCTGAAATTTAAAGCTTCCTGAGTGTTTTAGAGCATGGCTTGTTTGTGCTTTCATGACTAATCCCAGCTCTTTCGCATACAGAACATAGATGCAATGTTTCAGGACTCAGGCAGCCGATGTTTAGAAATCATGGGTGCTTTGGCATACGCATCCATTTAGGTACGACTGGACATCACCTGGCCATGCGTGCTGATCGCTCATCCTTGCTGTTTCTTATTAACCGTCCAATGTAGAGTAAGAGAAAAAACGGTGTTTTGAGGAAAATCTTCTCTGCTCCCCTCCCCATTTTCCTGAATATGAATTTTCAGTGTGAGTAACATCTTTTGGGGAATAAAGGTTTTCTAAAAATAATTCCTTTTCTGTATTGAAAATCAAACCCAAAGCCTCACACATGCCAAGCAAGTGTTCTCCCACTCCCCCAAGGCTTTATAAAATTAACATTTTATGTAACTTTACCTAAATCCTAGATGCCAGGCTGTTCTCACTGCTACTTCCTCTAGAGAGTTCTATGAGGAAGGGTTTTTTGGCAACTTTAGCTTTTATTTCAATTCTATGAAAATAAGAGCCTAGAGATGAGTCAGCTTGCTGTTTGGAATTTCTGGTTAACAGCTAGAAAATGACCGTGCTGGAATTTTAATTCAGCTCCTAACCACTACAATACTTATCTCCAAGCCAAGAACGCTGTTGCCATTTCTTGCCAAATTACAGAAGGCATTGCCAGTGCTACCTGGCAGCAGACCTCTGATGTCTTCGACAGCAAGGAATAAATATGCTGTACCTTTTCAAAATTAACCAGAACCCTGGGAACTTATCAGAAAATTTCCATGTTTTAAAAATGTGTTTTAAATTCATTCTTAGCTGGGGCTCCTGGTTTAAGGTATTTGTAGTGGGGGTGGATAATAAGAGGAAATAAAAACCTTTGATTTGGTCAGAAGGCTTTATCTATTTTAGAAGTGTAACCCATGATATTTAATTTCAGACTTTATTCTCTCTTTGTGATTATTTTGCCTGTACTAGTGGCACCCATGGAAATCAGAAAAGGGTGTCAGATTCCTGGAACTGGAGTTTTGGGAGGTTGTGAGCTACCATGTGTGTGCGGTGAACCAAACCTGGGACCTCTGGGAGAGTATCAAATCAAATACTCTTAATTTCTGAGCCATCTCTCCTACCTCATTGTTAAAAATATTTGGAAGTCCAAAACCGACAATAAACTCACATTAAGACATAATGTTGCCTGCTCTTCCATCTTTTGAAAAAAACGAGATTAGCCTTGTTTTGACAGCACTAATCTTATCACAGGTGTCACTAGGTCCCTGTAGGCTTTGTAATGACCTTAATCAACTATTAGCCCTGCACTCTAATTCCCAGATCTAGAAAGCATGTCTTTTCAGAAACTGAGAAAGCCATGCCGTCGTTAGTAAAGGTTGGAAGGGAAACAAAAATGGAACCAAGACACATCGGAAGGACACAGCAGGTAAAGGGCAACCGATACCGGAAATTTATCCTTTTGTACAGTCTTTATTTAAAAGGGGGGTGGGGAGCGAGGTCACTAGGTGTCTGACTCGAGATGGGGAATATGAAGTCTCCAATTAGGAGGTTCAATTTGAGAGGCTTTGTCCATGTTTTTGTCTTCACAAACAAAGTCGTCAGGAACAGGCTTAAGCTTTACCAGTGAGGGGTGTTGTTGGCATATTTAATTCACCGTTTTGGATATTTTACGGGCTTCCGCACGAAGCAACCATCGACTAATTTAATAGTAAAATAAAAACAAACATGAAATGGGGATATCTGCTTTGCGTAATAGCCCCTACAAGGCTTTCATTTCGCGCAAAAAATGATGAAAAACAAAATTGAGTATTTTCCGCGAGACTGGAACCGGTTCGTCATGGACACAGCGCGGAAAATAGCTGGGGTTTTCTGGCCAATCATAACCTTCAGATTGTAATGGCTCATCCTGTTTGCTCCACCCCCTTTCGAGGGTTTGATTCGAAAACCCCGCCTAACGCCTGTGGTTTTCAATCAGGTCCGCCAGGGCTCTATTTAAAGGGAAGCTTGGCCGCTGCTTGCTTTATTCTGTTCCTGCAACCATGTCTGGTCGTGGTAAAGGAGGCAAAGGCCTGGGCAAAGGCGGCGCCAAGCGCCACCGCAAGGTCCTGCGCGACAACATCCAGGGCATCACCAAGCCCGCCATCCGCCGCCTGGCCCGGCGCGGAGGAGTCAAGCGCATCTCCGGCCTCATCTACGAGGAGACCCGCGGGGTGCTGAAGGTGTTCCTGGAGAACGTGATCCGCGACGCCGTCACCTACACGGAGCACGCCAAGCGCAAGACCGTCACGGCCATGGACGTGGTCTACGCGCTCAAGCGCCAGGGCCGCACCCTCTACGGCTTCGGCGGTTAAGCCGTTGTTTCATTTCCTCTCTGTCGCAAAAGGCCCTTTTCAGGGCCACCCACAAACTCAACAAAGAGCTATTGCACGCTTTACGATCTTCTAGACAAAGGGTGGACGGACGACGCGGGTTACCTTGTTAAGCCGTCCTTCCCGTCAAAGTTGTTTCAAGGGTAGGTGATGTTTTTAAAAGATGAAACCAGAAAGCCTATGCAGGCTGGTTAAATTTAAACAATTTAGTACTGAATACGTTAATTTAGCAAACTTGGAATTAAAATCACATCGGGAATTGTGTCTGACATGTTTCAGGGCTGGATAACGCTTTTCTTAGGGTAAGGTCTGGTTCTACATAGAAGGTATTGAAGGTATATGTTTAGCTATTCATTGTATACAATAAGGCCTAACTACTTTACTGGGGACGACCATTTTATACACGAACTGCATAGTTGCGTTTTATCACTTTAAGTTCGTGTATGTAGCACGTTTGTACAGTTGCCAGGAGAAGGGCGTCGGATTTCCGGGAAGCTGGAGTTATATGTAGTTGTGTTCTGCTCCCCAAAGTCTGGTCTTCAAGACCAGCATGTGTATTTGACTAAGCAATCTCTCTAGCAACCCCGCTATGGTCTTTTGTCATTCCTGAAACCAAGGCCTAAAATAGATAAATATAAATTTACTATTTGTGGCACTCCTTAATGCATAAAACTGCTAAATCACAAGTTTTAAACAGGATTTTTTTTAAAGTATTTCACACCAGACTGCCCCAGTACTGTTTTTGTTATGTCGAGCATTGACTTCAAGCTCTAACATTTTCCTAAAAGAATAGGGTTCTTAATTTTTAATACTTCTCTTGTCAATCTCATGAAGTCTACATGTTATTTTCATAAAATATACAAAGGATTTCAACTGTAATTCTTGTTAGGCCAATAGTATTAAACCATTTTATAAAATGGGACAAAATTGATCTTTATTGTTAAACTGCAAAAACTTCCAATATTCTTGAGACTGCTCGTTGCATTTTTCATCACCCATGAAATCCTAAAAATTAAACTCAAGAAAACACGTATAATCTCTAGCTTGACTCCTAATCATCTGGGTTCATAGTGGTGGTTTAAAAGCCTGGACAGTGATTAATGGTGTTTTTAAAGTGTAAATTGAAGTACAATATTTGGTCAAAGTGGTATCTATTACTGAACTCATCTCTACTTTCTTCCTTGATATGGTGGCGTTTCTAGAATGAAATACGCCTATGGTGACCTTTATGATAATGAGAAAGCATTAATACAAGACCAAATTTGTAAATAGGTACACCTAGGGCCCTCCAAACATTTTAACTCTAGGGTCTAGAAGACAGATCTATGTAAAGCGACTGTCCACCTCGTTAACTTTTCGGTTATGTTTTTTGAGACTGGGTTCCTTGTGGCTTTGGTGCCTGACCTGGAACTAGCTCTGTAGACCAGGTTGGCCTCGAACTCACAGAATCTGCCTGCCTCCCCAGTGCTGGGATTAAAGGAATGAGCCACCACCGCCCGGCTCCATTAACTTTTGTATAAAGTGTTTTTGCCATTTTAAAAATTATGGAAGTGGCTCTTAAAAGAGCCTTTGGGTTTTTTTAAAACTGACTTTGAAGCTCACTTCTTCGCTGCTGCCTTCCTCAGGTCGGTCTTCTGCAGGCCCATCTTTGGCTTGCCACCGTTGGGGTTCGCCGCCCTTGCTTTGGCGGGACTTTTCCGCGGCTGCACACCCTTGGTGCCTTTGGTCTTCGGTCCGCCGGAGGATGCTTTCGTGGGCGTGGCCTTCGGCTTCTTGACACCCTTGGTCTTGTTGCTCTTGGGGGATCTCGAGACCCTGGACAAGCCTAGCTTCTTCGCCTTGGCAGAAGCAGATTTCTTGACCTTACCCTTGACCTTCTCAGGAGCAGCCTTCTTGCTGAGTTTGAAGGAGCCGGAGGCGCCGGTGCCCTTGGTCTGCACCAGGACCCCCTTATTCACAAGTCTCTTGAGGGCCAGCTTGATCCGGCTGTTGTTCCTCTCCACGTCATAGCCAGCCGCAGCCAGGGCTTTCTTCAGGGCAGCAAGGGACATTCCAGTCCGTTCCTGAGACGTCGAAAGGGCCTCGGGAATCAACTTGGAAACCGAGAAACTCCGGGGTTTGCGAGCAGCGGCCAGGCCAGGCTTCTTCCTTCGCCTCTTAGATGGCGGTTTCTCGACAGGAATTGGGGCAAGGCTACTTGAGGCTGCAGGAGCCGTTTCCGACATAGCCAAGAATTAGTCAAGAAATAACCCAGTAAGAAAAAGTAAAAAGACCACCAACAGCGCAGCGGGGGTCGGGCGGGGGGGGGCTTATATAGAGCAGGGCGCGCTGTGATTGGTGCATTCCCAGACACCTCCCCCGCCCCTGGTGGAGGGGCGTTTGTGTTTCTTTTCCCCCCAAAAGTAGAAACTTCCACGTGTGCTCACTGCAGAATCGCACAGGTTGCGACACCAGGTGACCCACGGGGACTTGGATTCCACCTGGCTTCTTACCTTTTATTGATAAATGTCCCTGCAGGCCAGAACTAGTGGGAAAAGCCCTTGATTTTCATTCAAATTCATGAAGAAGAAGAAAACTTTCTCTTTTCTTTGAAAATTCAAAAGTAATTTTTGGTAGAAAATATATCCAATGTCTTCGGAGGGATCGTCTATATATGTGGTTCCTAACTGGCGATTAAAATCAATTATTCAGGCCCGAATTCTTATCGAAATTATTTATATATGTTACAGAAGTAGCACAAACATCTTCGCCATCTCACTGTAGAATCAGACGGTGTTCCTAGAATTATCCCAGAACTCCAGAGTGAGGCCTTCTCGAAGGGAGCAGAGCCTAACAAACGCTCCACAGAGCATGTGAGAGGCGCTGTGTCCCCTGAATCGTAGGAGGAACTGCTCAAACGCCCTTATGTATGTCTCACCAATGGCATCTCTGTAGCCAAATCAACCAACGTCAAGGGTGTTTTTCAACCGAGTTTGCCTCTCCTTTCGCGAATTAAACGCCACCACCAGGGGCCTACTCTCTCTGTCTTGCCCTCTCTCTGCCTGCCCCTTAATTGTCTATAACATTATAAAGCTGGCATGACAGTTTACAGTCTCTTAAAGTGGCTGGGCTGGTAGATGCAGCTGCAGGTATGTTGGAGAAGTGTTCTCAGAGCTTATCCAAGGGGCACGCCTGGAGATTGAGTGCCTTCAGCTGGGCCTTGTGGCAAAATGCCCAGAACTAAGGCAGCTGAGGCATAGGGAGGGTCGCCATGAAACCGAGGCCACCATGGTTAGAAGATGAAAGCATGTCAAGAGAAGAGGAGAAAGAGAACATGATTGCTCATTGAGGAAGGTGTAAAACCCGATCCATTCTGGAGGAGGCTAAAATGAGGGTGTTGTGGGATTACATCAGCTGAAGCAGAACTTGTGACCCAGTGCGGCCAGCTGTTATGAGTTCTTTCTGGAGATATCTTCTCTTGTAAAGCAGGGGTCTTAATTGATGTCACAGAAAAGAATTTCGGAACAAGACAGTATGCGAAAAAGCTGATGTCTGTTAAGGAGAAATTGAGGGTGGATGGGTGTCTGTCTCAGGAAAAGGGGGTATGCTTGTGTCTTAACAGTAATCGTGGCTAGGCCTGGTATGTAGAACTCTAACCCCTGCTACCTGAGAGGCTAGGGAATGAGGGTCTAAGTTCAAAGCAAGCATGGCTGTAGAATAAGTTCATGAAATCCTGTCTCAAAATAAAACCACATTGGGAACAGTGGGAATATGTCTTAGTAATAAGGCATCTATCTATCTAGCAGGTGGTAAATCCTAGGTTCAGAGTCCAGGACTGCAAAGGAATGTGTGTGTGTGTGTGTGTGTGTGTGTTGTATGAATGTGTGTATATGTGTATTTTGTGGTTTTGAAGTTACATTGCTCAAACATCTTTAAAATCTAATAAAGTAGTTCAAAAATTAAGTAAACTTGTATGAGGTGGTTACTTGTTTCTCTTCAAGAATTTCCTTTGTGTATGAACTGATAGGGATGTTTATGTGATGCACTGTTCAGGCTTAGGGATGAGAGGTGAGCTCTGATAGCTATCCTCATAGGTAACATATATACTGTTCTTAAGCAGTTTGTGAGTTCTTGTGCTCCTCCTGTTTGAGATGGTTGTATTAAAATTTGACTCCCAAACAGTGAAAAGCATAAATTAGACCCCGTCATTGAGGTGAAGGTTCCTGTGATGGTTTGAAAGAAAATGGCCTCCAAAGGGAGTGGCACTATTAGGAGGTGTGGCTTTGTTGGAGTCAAGTGGCCTTATTGGAGGAAATATGTCATTGTGGAGGCCGGCTTTGAGGTCTCATATATGTTTAAGACGCCCCCAGTGTCTCAGACCACTTCCTGTTGCTTGTAGGTCAAGCTGTAGGAATCTCAGCTTTCTACAACACCATGTCTGCCTGCATGTCACCAAGTCCCAAGATGATGACAATGGACTAAACCTCTGAAAATGTAAGCCACCACAATTAAATGTATTACTTTATAAGAGTTGGTATGGTTGTGGTGTCTCTTCACAACAATAGAAACCCTAACTAAGACTGTTCCCTACCCATATCTTCTGAATTTCCTGTCTTTCTATCTTTTATCACCAGAGCCCAGGTCCTCAACTCAAAGAAAACCCATTAGGGCTATTTGTGAAAGTCTCTAGATGCTTGTGTGAAAAGTGTGTTCTCTATTCCAAGAGCCATCAGAAGTTCATGAAAATTAATTATTATATTATTGTAGTATGTATCTAGGCTTTATATGTTTGGCATAAACATCATCACCATTACCGATAAGTGCTGAGTGTATAATATTGGGACTCTAGCAGAAACCTTAGAATTTCAAAGGCAGTGTCTAGGAGGACAGTGTGGGGAAATGCTACTTCTGAAATATTTCTACCTAAATTCATATATTTTATTCTAGTATCTTTCCTGTGGGGGGGGGGACACTAAAAACAAAATAAAACAAAACTATCAGTTGAGAGTCATGAGACTAATTTCCACCTTGCCGGTGCAGTGTGATCTTCCCTGTGAAAACAGGTTCGTCTCTCTGAGCGACTATAAATTTGATATCACTTTGATATACCCTTTTTCACAGACCAACTTTCTGGACCAATAACTGTCAGTGCTACACAGTCATCAAGTAGACCTTTACAGACTGGCCGAGCATCTTGGTCTATTGCTTTAAAAGTAACACGGAAGTGACAAATGTAATGAATTCTTAGATTCTATAATTGAAAATCCAGAAAAAGAACTTGGATTCATAGTTTGCCCAAGGCAACTGAAAATATCCATTAAAAAAAAATATATCACATATGCCCAGACCTGTCCAGGCCTAGTTTGTGTTCCACAGTGCAGTGCTATGTAGGCCAAACCCCCTTCTATTCCCGGTTGTCTTGTTTCAACCTCCTCAGGCAGCCATGGGGGTACAGGTGACCACCACCATGCCTGCCTTCATTTTCCTCTTCTTCTTTCTTTTTCTTCTCACACACTACTGCAGAAAATGGAGCACGGGGCCTCACACATGACCCGCATGCCCTGTAGCTACACCCTTAGCCTGTGTCTTTCAGATGGTTGACCTAAGTTTTTCCTCTTAAGAAGAAAAAGGTTTATAAATAAAAGATTTATAAGTGAAGATTTACAATTTGCATGATCTATATTCAAAAAAATAGAGATGCAAATTAACTCAAAAATACAAAACTAGTTACATAGGTAGTGATTCATTCATAAATATTATACCTCCACATATAGTAATTTCTAATCATATTTAGTTAATTAAAATTACATACGTAGGATGCGTATTTGCTTTACATGATTTTTTTATTATATGTACAGTATATATTCACATATCACCAACACTTAAAAGCTTTTTTTAGCTAGGAGTATTTTCATTTTCTACTCATGTGTGTCTTTCCTATCACAAACGTCTACGGTGAGCATTTTCTATCCAATCTTTATCACGTGTTCCTCGAGTTTTGAAATTAAATATGGCCATTAGTCTGCTAGTATCTCCCATTTCCCTCCATTTCCCTCATCTCATTTGTCAGATGAAACAACATCCAGCACTGACGAACGGTAGAAGAGATGCCATGTCTACGCCTCCTGTAGAGAGAGAAAGAGAAAAGTGAACTCACTCTGGCTCTTCTGCAGATGCCTGCTGCTCTTCCAGGAGTGAAAATGACAATGGGGATTAGCATAGATTGGGGTTTTTGTTGTTGTTTTCTGAGAGACCAGCAGTGTTCTGAGGAGCCTATGAATACCATTCAATGCATTTAGTCATCCCAACTATACTATACCAAACTATGGCTGCTCCCCTCCTGATTATAGAAGATGGAACTCAGCAACAGACACTGGTATCCCCAGGAGCTGATAGATGCTGGGCCTATACAGTAAACCTAACCCCTTTACTACCTGAGCCTGGTTTCAATAAAGGATTAATGGGATTATCGAGTTAGTATCCTGGGAGTTCCATTTTATGGAAACCTTAAAGGATAGGGATCTATCAGGTGGAAAAAGAGTGAGGATTGTTCTTAAGGAAAGTGGTGGCACTGTCCAGGTGCAGGGATGGTACAACAGGGAAACGCTGGCTTGAGCTGGACCCTGTGGAGTTGCCTGTGCAGGACTGCAAAGGTCCTTGCATGAGGAAAGCAGGAAAAAATAGTGTTTGTTATCCCCACATGAGGAAGGCACTGAGTGATGCAGGATGCCCTTCTGTATATGTATTTCTCTTATTGGTTAATTAATAAAACTGCTTTGGTCTATGACAGGGCAGAGTAAAGCCAGGCAGGAAATAGAGAGAAAGTAGGCAGAGTCAGGGAGATGCCATGTAGCTGCCGAAGGAGAAGGACACATTGGAACTTTACAGGTAAGCCACAGCCTCGTGGTGATACACAGATTGATAGAAATGGATTAATTTAAGATATGAGTTAGCCAGAAATATGCCTAAGCTATTGGCCACGCAGTTGTAATCAATGTAGTTTCTGTGTGATTATTCTGGTCTGGGCCACCAGAAACAAAAGAACCTGGTGACAATAAAGGGAAGCAGAGGTAAGGGGATTCACTCTCTTTAACAAGTGGGAGGTATGCATTTGTCTCTCCTACTCAGGGTGTGACCTCTGAAGGCCCAAGAGCTCATTGTGTTTCTTCCAGCATCTTTGTTTTAATAAAGTGTAGTAATCTTTTCTAAATGCAGTTGAAGAGGAATTGAACTTGGGGGCTGGAGAACTGGCTCAATAGTTAAGAGTGCTTGCTTTGCAATGAGGATAAGAGTTTGGATCTCAGCACCTACATAGCAAGCTAGGCATGTCCACGAAAGCCTCTAACTCTGGCTCTAAGGAGGGGCAAGGACAGAAGTAGAATTTGCTGGCTTCTAGCCTGGCCAAGAAGGCCCAAGACCCAGGTTCAATAAGGAGAGACCCTGCCTCAAAGGAATAAGCAGAGAGTACTAGAAGAGAACACCCAAACCTTTCTTCTTTCAGTATGCATGCATAGGCTTGCACATCTTTGCACATACATGTGCACACACACACATGACAGACATATACACACACAAAATAAATAAATATAAACAGCAAGAAAGGTTGCATCCTTAAGGACTGTGCTGGAAAGACCCACAGCTCTCCTTTCAAGTGTTCACACGCATCTTCACAGCTACCATCTTTAAATCACACCAGCTCTCAGGGCAGCACAAACAATGGATGTAAGGACGTGCACCCAGAAGAGCACAAGACAGACTTCATCAGTCTGCACTTGTTTTCTTTACTGGTTTAATCCCTCAGGCATTCCTCCAGCTTCCATTGTATTGTCTAAGGATTAACTGAGCCAAGTACCAACTCATAGAACAATGCCTGGCATACGGTAAGCACTATGCTACATTCAACTACTAATTATAGCAAGCATTTGCATCAGAGGTCCTAGTTTTTATATTTGCTGCCATGCATCATCCTCCTTTCTCTGCTCTACTCCTTTGCTCTCCCCAGAATTTAGGCCATTCTGACATTCTGTACACCTAGAATTAGAGTACCCATTGTTTACACGCTGTCTTCCCAGCTGAGGTAGAAGTCCCATGAGGGCAAGCACTTTGTCCTTTGCCCATGAGACAGTCTCTGGAGACAGACAGCTCCTTAGTGATCCCAGCAGGGCAGGGGGAGAAGGGAAAGAGCCTCCTTCTTAAGTCACTGTAAGCCTGTGGCTCCACCTAACCCACAGCAGACACTGTTAACTGAGAAGCCATCCTGGGATCCTTTATAAGAACAGAAGGGAAAATGTAGGAGACACAGCTTAAAGAAAGCATTGGAGAAACCAGACTTGTAAAGCCCTCAGGTCTATTTTCTTCTAAGGAAGAAAAGTGGCTGTTGCCTAGCCACCCAGAGGACTGGAGCGGATGTTGTCTGACAACCTGGAGGTCTTTTCGCTGTTCTATGGAGCCAGCCTTCCTGAATCCCCTGATATCCTGAGCATTGTGGGCCCTTTTCCTGAGCTTTTTGTCTCAGTAAATAGAACCTTTCGTTATGAAAGAGGTCCTGTGTACTCCACATCCTCCATCAACAGAATCTGTCCTTATGCTTATGAGAAATCCTCCTTAGGCCCTTGCCCTGAGCACTGGTCATCAGTCAACGGGACTCATTTTTATGGTAAAGGTCTCAGGTGCTTTGCTCCTTTGCTGTATGTTCTAAAGCTTTGCTGTGATAACTGTCATGTGGAAACCTTTTTTTCAAAGCTTAACTGCGCTTAAATGCAGTAAATATTTAGAAAAATAAACCCTGAGGTCAGACTCTGGAAGTTTTTGTCCCAGCACCTGCTAAGGGGGGTTGGGGGGGTGGGGGGGCGACTGGAGTTTCATTCGTCACCTCTCACGGACTGTGTGCTCTCTGCGGCCGTGATGCTTGCAAGGGTCCAGAACAGGTAAAGATGGAAGAAAGATGAAGACCAGGGACCAGACATGGCCTTGCTCTCCTTCTTCCATGGAGCCGCATTTATTTATTTATTTGAAATGTAGAGTGCATTTTTTAACTTATTGAAAACTGGATCAACTGTCATGTGTATGTGCTTACTGGGTGGCAGGCTGAGCAATCTGCCCCAGGAATACTGTGATAACTAAACCAGGGCATAGAGTCTACGAGGTTACAGAGAAGTAATGACGAACCCAAAGTGTGTAATTTACAAAACAGTTGGAAAGAGGTGGTTTAGATGTCTTCCCAGCAGAAGTGGCCACACAGATGCCTGCAGAGCAGGGAAGAGCTTGCCGCACAGTAAGAAGCAGGGAAAATTCAAGAGTTCCAGCGGTGGGGGAAGACAAGAAAACAGCAAGGGCTGGGAATGTGCCTGTAACACAGAGAATGGCAGAGAGGCACACAAGAGACTCTAAGAACCAGCCCTTCAAACTGCATCTGTTCTCGGGGGTCTATGGAGGGTCCTAAAAGAAAAACGCCCACCATGCCAGCTCACACACCAGACTGATGGAGACCCATTGCTGCTTCCCTTCCTACTTACCTAATTAAAGCTCCTCTTTGTGTGTAGATTGACTGGGCCAAAAGATAACCTCTGAATTTTAGAGTCCAGAACCCTCAGCCCTATACCTATAAAAAGGATGTTTTTGATCCACACTTGGAACTAACAGTGTTTGAGGCTTTTGTTTGTTGTCTATCCAACATCTTGGAACCTAATTTATAATCAACTACAATACTTAAAAGACTCAGCAAGCTGATTTAGAATCTAAGTAATTTAGTGAGTTTATCGTGTCTTGAAAAGGCTGACAGCAGCTATGTACTTGGCTCACTTGACTGTAGGCTTCCTCACCCAGGGTGCACGGGATGAGGGTTCAGAAAAAGGAATGCTTAATGCCCTAAACTTGTAATTACTGGGAGTGTCTAAAAAAGTGCTTAATCTAAACTCCTTAGAGGATGACTGTTTTAAATCTCCTTAAGTGTTCCTAAAGAGATAACGATTGGGGGAAGGGGTGCATTTTCTCTCAACCTAGCATTTTTATCTAAACTCTATAATTTGTAAAATCCCATCTCTGTTAATCATAGATGAACTATTACCCAGATTGACATAAAGCTATTTCACCTACATCCTTCTGATATAAGAATAAAATGTATAAACTATGTCAGACAAGCACAGACAGCATGCATATGGATTAAAGATCTTTAACCTTGACCTAGCAAGACGGCTCAGAAAGTAAAGGTGCTTGCCACCCAGTCTGATGACCTGAGTTCAATCCCTCGGATCCACAGGCAGAAGGAGAAAGTGGACTCCCTCAAATTGTCCTGACCTGGACTTATGCAGCGTCAGGTGTGAGCTTCCCCACCCACCACAAGCACACAAAATAGAGATGTAATTTTTAAAAGGAAACACTTCTTTAACCTTTCTCTGACAACTTTCATTTTACCTATCTTAAACTGAAGTTCTAAATTCATAATATTAGGACAGCTAAGATGCTTTTTACATGAAAAAAAAAAAACAGTCTTTGGGGATCTTCTCTATTGCCACTTAGTGACAATTTTCCCACTACCTGGAAGAAGACCCTTTGCATGCTACAGAAATAGCTGTGTTCCTTCTAGAAGGTGGGAACGATTACCATTACCCTCAAAGTGCAGTGAAGAAGCTGAGGCAAAGAAAAAGTACAAGGCTTGTCTTAAAGTCTCCCCACGAGCATGTGACAAACTGCCTGGGAATTAAACTTCAACCCTAGAGGCTTCCCCTTTTCAACAGGGAACAATGCTTTGCAGTAGTTTTGCTGGTGTGAACCAGTTCTCAGCTCAGTGTTCTGCAGTGACGCTTTCTTCAGTCCTCAGCCATTCTTTCTGAGTGGGTGATTATTGTCTGTGTGGTGACGTTTGTCTGAACCTCAAAGACAGTCAGTTAATTATTAGCACACATTCCTCGTGCGTTGACTACGGGCACAGACCACACCCCCCCCCCCCAGCATTTTTTATATTGAGTCCTGAAAATTGAGGTTTGGTTTTCATATAGCATAAAAAGCACTTTATTGACTGTATTATTTCCTCAGTACGCTCTTCAAAATAATTTTTAAAGAATCAATTGTGTCAGTTCCCAGACAGTCCCTGGGAACTCAAATACAGCTCATTATTTTAGTATCCTAACTTTTTTTGCAGTGTAGAGGGAAATTGGTTGTCACTAAGAAACAATGGAAAAAACTCCCCAAAATAGGTTTTGGTCTAAAACTCATCCTGCCAAATTTAGTATGAACTTGAATTTAATATTGGTAAAGAACTGATCTTTGCATTAAAATAGGAGCATTAATCCCAGCTACACAAAAAGAGAACTGGGACAGTCTCATGTTAGAGTCTTACTAAACTGAATTACTATATTGCCTAAGACTACCAACTTCCTTAAAACACAGAGTAAACTTAACCATTATCTTGTTTCCTTATCTGTTTTCCTCTGTAGCTAGGGAACTGGGTATAAAAGACAGTCCTTGAATGAAGCAAGCAATCATGGTTCCTTATATATACACTTACAAGCCCCAGTCCCCTATCTCCATTATTTTTTCACGCCTACAGACTTAAACTAGCAAAGGCAAGAATGGCTACTGCCATCCTAAATTGAAAGGGCAGGGTTTTCTAATTCGTTAAGCAAAGCTCATTATAACCTGTGTTAACATTAGGAGAAGGAGAGTTAACACAGAACAAGCTGCCCTTGGCGGTGTCAGAGGAGCTGCAGTCAGGAACAGAGCTTATGGGAGACAGCTCAGAGGGTAACAAAGCTTCTCTGGGAGCAGCCTGGAGAGGCAGACCCCCTGGGGAGGATTGTTTCCAGAGGTGTGATTGCTCTACAAAGGGATTCCACCAAATCGAACATAAGTGCGATTGTTTCCTGGGAAAATCCCACTCCTCTCTGGGCAATTTACTTGCAGATTATATTGAAGATAGCTTTTTTTTTTTTAATAAGAGTAATAATAGTTAGATCTATGATTTAATTGGACTTTTTGAGTTTGCCTTAAAGTTGCAAGTGCTTAAGACAGTAAAGATGATTAGGGAAATGGTTTAGGTTATTGTGCCAATTGCTCCACTAAGAGACCCCCCCCCCAAAAAAAAAAAAAACAAAAATAGGCTAGAAGTCACCTTCCCCTTAAACAAGGAATTTTCATACATAGCATGAATGTTGCCTGTGGAAAAACAGGCCGATGACAAAAGAAAGCAATTAATCCCTACTCCTAAGGTTAGACCCTAGTTCCTCGGTCCTGTAATTTACAAAACTAATCCCAGCCCGGGTGTGCATCTTAAAAGCAAAGTTGTGAAGGAAACTAAATAACTCTGCTGGGCGTAAAGAAAGCTAGATTGTTTGCTGATTCATTTAAAGTTTCTCTAGAGTAGAAAATAGATATCCTCTGCACTGAGGGCCACACAGCTAAAATATACTTAACTTTCTTAAACCTTTTTTAATCAATAATAAAAGAATCATTGCTTTGGGGTAAAGATGTTATGGTGGGAAAACTAACACAAAGAAAAATGTTTAACTACTTGTGAGCTTCTAAGGAGAACAAGTAACTTCTGATCTTAATATGATTTCTTCCTATGTAAAAATTGGTTTATGAAAAACATATAACTTAATGATTGTGAGGGAATCTTTCCTTGCATTGAAGTCTTTGCCCTAGATGGTATAAAAGGAATAAGAAAAAAAAATACTGGAGAAGGAAAGATATTGAAGGAAAAACATCAGAGCAGAAATAAAGAGGATGTTAGGAAAGAGAAATAAAACTGGGAAGAAGGGAAACATCGGGGTAAGAGAACAGATAAAAGAACAGATAAAGTATATCCATCAGAGAGAAAAAGAAAATGAAGGTCCTGAGCAAAAGTCTCCTGTATGCCTCTGTGTCTCTCCCAGCAGCTTCTTCTCTCGTTTCTCTGGCCTGCCGAGAGCGTGCTGGGGGCTAGGCTCCTCAGGGGCAAACATTTCAGGGTCTTATATTTTGTAACTTGTAAGTTAAAATTAAACAATATCCAATGAGGAGGCACTAATTCATTATTTAATATTCATCTAAGGTCTTTTTATCTAAATTCTTAATGTAATTATTTGCCTGTGAATTCGGGTTTTAAGCTGACAGGTTGTATCCCTATCACTTGTATAAATTTTTATTTCATTTAAACATTACACTTCACCCCCACCCACTGGCTACTTCCCCTCACTCTTCTTTCACCCCGCTGGACCTATGAAAATAATTGGGCCAAGGGCTCTAACATGTGATAAATGTCTCCATCTGCTTTTGAACAAATTGTTTCATTTCTCACCAGAATCTGGGGGCGGCGACTGTCAGGGTCGGAGGTCCGTTTGATAATGACAGACTACGTATTATACCCTAAAAATTTACCAGAAACTGATGTAACATAACATCTCAGGGGTTAAGTAAAGCTGCAGTCTGCTGTATGTTAAATTTACAAATACGAAAAGGCCGTTTTCTTTCTCTAACAAGCTGCTCCTGTTTAGAGCTTTCAAAACGAAAGCAAATATAAAGCACTTCTCCCCAAAATGAACCACCTGGAGTTAAGTGTTTTTAAAGACAAATCACCAGTGGCCAAAATATTACCAGGTCTATTTACTGACTCCCTTATCTGTCGTCCTTGCTCTACGACTTCGCTTCTTCCGGTGAACTGACTCAGCTCAACCGGATGTGACGTTCACAGGCTCTGGAAGTTAAATTTCCTATGAAATATTTCAGAACACAAACAATTCCAACAAAAAGTAACCTATTAATGCTTTACGTGGCCCTGAACACTATCAAGAGGGTTTAAGGTGCCAATAGCTTATTTACATAAATTAAGCTAAATAGTGCTTTGCCACAACTCTCTTTTTGAGAAGGTGGGTGGCTCTGAAAAGAGCCTTTGGAATTCGCAATAGAGGCTTACTTGGCACGGTCACTTCACTTGGAGCTGGTGTACTTGGTGACGGCCTTGGTGCCCTCGGACACGGCGTGCTTGGCCAGCTCCCCGGGCAGCAGCAGGCGCACGGCCGTCTGGATCTCCCTGGACGTGATGGTCGAGCGCTTGTTGTAATGCGCCAGGCGCGACGCCTCGCCCGCGATACGCTCGAAGATGTCGTTGACGAACGAGTTCATGATGCCCATGGCCTTGGAAGAGATGCCGGTGTCGGGGTGGACCTGCTTCAGCACCTTGTACACGTACACCGAGTAGCTCTCCTTGCGGCTGCGCTTGCGCTTCTTGCCGTCCTTCTTCTGCGCCTTGGTCACGGCCTTCTTGGAGCCCTTCTTCGGGGCGGGCGCGGACTTGGCTGGCTCAGGCATCTTCAGATCTCCAAACACAGGAAGCTCAATGTGGGTTGGAAGTAGACATCTCCTACTTATAGGGCGTTTATGCTAATGAAGGATTTCAAAGAAGTCTTAGCTAATTGGAAGAAACAACACCAGAGGGATCGTGGGTGTGATTATGCAAATGAGGTTTTGAGATCCTTATTTTCTATTGGCTATAGCGCTGAGTTCTCTTGTAACCAATCAAATGAGTACTTTTACTACCCAGGAACAAAATATAAAAGCAGCCGTGTTTTACAGAGCTTAGTAGTTTGTGTTGTGTCGCTGACTTCCTTATAGCTTTATCATGTCTGGACGTGGCAAGCAGGGTGGCAAGGCTCGCGCCAAGGCCAAGACCCGCTCCTCCCGGGCCGGCCTGCAGTTCCCCGTGGGCCGCGTGCACCGCCTCCTCCGCAAGGGCAACTACGCCGAGCGGGTGGGCGCCGGCGCCCCGGTGTACCTGGCGGCCGTGCTGGAGTACCTGACGGCCGAGATCCTGGAGCTGGCTGGCAACGCGGCCCGCGACAACAAGAAGACGCGCATCATCCCGCGCCACCTGCAGCTGGCCATCCGCAACGACGAGGAGCTCAACAAGCTGCTGGGCCGCGTGACGATCGCGCAGGGCGGCGTCCTGCCCAACATCCAAGCGGTGCTGCTGCCCAAGAAGACCGAGAGCCACCACAAGGCCAAGGGGAAGTAACTTGACAACCATCAGAACTTTCAGAAACTTCAGACCCAAAGGCTCTTTTCAGAGCCCCCACAGTTTCAAAGAAAGAGTTGAACAAACTGCAATAATGACCTCGGTCTTTTGGCGAGCTCCAGTTACTAACAGTTTGAGACTATTGGCCAAATCAGTAGAGCCTCCTGGAATGTTAACTAGGTAAATAACGAAACCTAGAAAGCCAAACGTAACTTCCCAGAACTAGTAGTTCTGAACAGGTTATGGAGAATGGTATCCAGTCAGTGGAAACTGTCTGAAGGTTGTCCATTTTAACTTAACTATTAGCCTACAGCATTTAGCATTCAGTGAGCTGCAATGGATACTATTTAATTCTATTTCTCAGTTTACAAACAGCCAATGAGACGTGGGGCCTCTGGCCTCCACAAAACAACGGAAATGGAGGTTATCTGGAACCTTAGGGAAACACCCAACTCCAGGGCTCTTGGTCTCACCAACTTTTTCCTCAGGACACCATGAGCCACATAATAAAAAGCTCGTAGCACTGAGGGTGAGACCATTAAGTTCCCACAATTCAAATTAACATGTAGTAGGTGTGGATTTCTTGTGGTTTTTGTTTTTTTGTTTTCTTTTGGGGGATTTTATTTTGTTTTATATTTTCCCGCCAGGGTTTCTCAGCCCTTGTAGGCCAGGCAGGCCCTCAAACTCAGACTTGCCTGCCTCTACCTTCTGAGTGCTGAGATTAAAGGTTTGGGACACCAAGCCCGATTTAGTGCTTGTGGTCTTTTTTTTTTTTTTTAGTTTTTCGAGACAGGGTTTCTCTGTAGCTTTGGAGCCTGTCCTGGAACTCGCTCTTGTAGACCAGACTGGCATCAAACTCACAGAGATCCGCCTGCCTCTGCCTCCCGAGTGCTGGGATTAAAGGCATGCGCCACCACCGCCCGGCAAATGTATGAGGATCTAGGCAACCTCTTACTCGTTCCCTAGCAGACATTCCAAAAAGAAAATAATTGGGTTCCCAGGAGCTTTGAAGATGAGGCAGAGGAAAAACAATTACCTTGATGTCTGTAAGAATTTTCTGTGTATGGCCATACTACTCTAAACACTAATTTCAAAAGCTAAGCAGGATCATGCCTGGTTAGTTCTGGGATGGGAAACCACCTCTGGATAATAGTGCTAGTCTAGGTTTAAAAAAAATAATAATTTTCTGAGGTGTTTAGTTTTGAGTGAGGACCAATCTCATGCAACCCAAGCAGCCTGAGGGTTGCTCTTGAGCTCCTGAGTTTACTGCCACCATTTCTCAAATGGCAGGAATACAGATGTGCACCAACACACCACACTGAGGAAGAATGGTTCTGTTTGTTTATGCAGGTCCCGGTGCTGGCCTCAAACTTGCTAGGTAGCTGAGAATGACCTTGAACTTCTGACCCTCTTAGTTCAAGCTCCTCAGCACTGGAATACTGTGAGCATCGCCTGCCTGCTTCCAAGGTGTTAAGAGAGTTCTCACAAGCAACTGGGTCTGGGAAATCTGGTCTCACTGTGCACAGCTGCTTCTGTGAGGTGTGGCGTCCAGCTCGGCAGTGAAGGAGTCCTTTAAATTTGAGAACCTTGGCTCTCACTTCCTACATAGGAGCCTTGGAATCATTTTCAAAATCTTGTCAAGTTCCCTTTGAATGCAAATTTCCCAGAGGTGAGACCTTCAGATGGTGTTTAAGTTGTCCCTGCATCAATATTTCTGTTTCTTTCTGTATCTTTGTTCACTTTGCTATAACAGAAACCCAAACTGTGTTGTGTGTGCCCTGAAATTAGAACAGCAAGGCTGGTCAAGATGGCTGGTTAAGCACCCCTGTATGCCAGTCACATGTGCGCTCCACCATATTCAGCCCTGCGAGCCAACAATCAAAGTCCTGTTCCATTGCTATTATAGATGCTTTGATGAACAGAGAAATAGAGCTGAAAGAAGGTGACTAAGGCCCCAGGCTTATAAAGCCAGCACTCCAAATGCTTAGTTATCCTTGCCTAAGAGATTATTATGGGAAAAATTGAAATAGCACAAAATAATGAGTAGACTTTGTTATATAGAAGGCAATATAACAAAACAGTTACTTAGTGACATCCTAAAGTCTGTCTTAAAGAAAAAAGGGGTTTTCCAGAATCTGTACAAAGGGGGCAGGAGTAAAAACTTGATAGTGTACTAACATGCTGAACCTTTAGTGGGGCCAGCATGACTTTTCTTAAAGGTAGAAAAAGAAAAAGAAAAAACCTTGATATTTTGGGAGGATGGTTTTCAGGAGGGAGAGGACTGTTTCCACACAGTGAGTTAGGAGACGAGGTAGTTTGCTCCAGGTTCCCAGAACAACATTTGTATTGGAACATTTGCTCGTGAATGGATACATCTTGAACATTGTTAACCTTTTTGTTTTCATCTTAAACAAGACCATAAGCTCAAGGTCTCAACTTGTTAAATTGTAAATACTCGGCTTAGAAATACAAATAGAGACCAGCTTTAAAGGTACTGAGTGACTGCTGAATTGGATGAATCGGAGACAGGGCAAGCCAGAAGGCGGTTTGTTCTAGACCGTCTGTTTACTAACAGGGAAAACAAGAACACACCAAACTGTAACTTCTAATAGCAGATCCTGCTTTCTAGTGATCTGATTGTGCAGGGAGCTTATTTAGGGTGCCGCAGAGAGATACAAGAGTGACAGGTGTACTACTCTGACTGTGAAGAGGCAGCGAAGAACAGGCTACAAGGCACAGAGCATCCCACACGTCTCTGTCCCAGCTCATCTCTGACAGGATTCTTTAACTTCTGATTGGCACTCACTGATTCTGTCTCAGGTCCCTGCTTACCGCTGGACAGATTCTCTAGAGTGCTAGATGCCTGGCAGCTTCAGCTACCTTTCAGACTTTGAGCAGATATTCACCCATTATGTCTCAAGGGTTTGGGGGAAGTCGAGGACACGTTGATAAAAGTTATTTACCTTGGCTTCCTGGTCAGGGAAGGTTCTCAGGCACCAGAGATAAATTTATCTTAAGGTTTTACTGAGATGGAGTTATCATTTGGGTTTTTTTTTTAACATATCCAAAACAAACATAAAACAAAAATAAAAAGAAACTTTAATATGGTATCACCAATTGCTCTATACCTATACAGTGACTAATAATCTGTGGACGGTAATATTATTCCCTTGCTCCCTGCCACTGCCACTCGTTTTTGTGGATTTTTTCCCTTGGATCCATTTAAAGTACTATAGTTTAAATTATAAGGATGTATTTCAGTTATATATAGGTTATTTCATTAGAAGCTTGTCATCTGATGATCCTAAATTGTAGTTCTTCATCTTTATATTTATTCCTTTTAAATATTAAATATAATGCATATGTATGAAAAGATTATCAGGAAGTTAACTGTATATTCTCCACTCACACTGGAACCAATGAGAGTTCATATGTAACAGAAGATTCTAACCTTTCTTTTGTCTCTGCTTTAGACTAAAGCAAGAGAGGTTAGTATTGTGATGGTATCTGCTAAAGATATTCATCACCTGTATTTACACTTGAAAACTATTATTAACAAATTGATCTCTGTTTTTAAATAACAAGTACATAGAATTGCTGTGCCATTCAGAGGAAATAGAATATGTCATGAATACTTCAAAATAAGCTGAGTTGTCCAGCAATAAAATCAAATTTTCCTTGTTCCCTGCTACATGTGAGCATGTGAGGACTTTAATAGTTTGGCAATGATGAGGGCATCAATATTTTGCAGGATTTAGAACTTATGCACATTGCTGATAGTTCAGGCTGTTTCTGAAAAAAAAAAAAGAAGAGTGCTGAATTCATATTCTTCCACATATGCTATTTGGCTGTCAAGGCTTAACCCTTACCATACCCACTACAATCCTCTCTCTCTGGGCTACCTTAAGAACACTGATTGGATAGCTCTCTGGTGGTGGTGGTGTTCTTTGGTTTTATTTTGGGGAGGATGGCGGTAGGGAATGCCATAACACTACAGCACTACCTTAACTGAAATTAGAGATGGTTTATTCTAGAGCCAAATTCGAGTGACCCTATCCTGAGAACACAAATTCCACATCCCAACATGTAAGCATTTTCTTACCGTTTTATAGCTCTTACAGAACAACGAGAGTCTTAATCATAAAATGATGGGTGCATCCATGGGGCAGTTACAAGATCGAGGAGACTTTTCTCCAGGTCTCAGATGCTATTTGATGACATTCTTAACATTTGGGGTGATGAAAACTAGTGGTCTGCTCAGTTGATAGATTTCTAACGCTTTTGAGAGTCAGTTACAAGTTAGTTCCGACTCAGAAGTGGGCAAGGAGTGGCTTTTAGGAGGCCAAGGCTAGCCGAGATGAGGCAATTATTAGCCTCCTGAGTGAAAACATACGGACCTCTCCACAGCGCGGCAGTTCTAATCAGTCAAGCAGTCTTCACAGTTTCTTTCCAAGAATTCCCATTTACAGTTCCCCCTTTTGTCCAAGCATCACATTTTGGGCATACTGGGAGGCCACATATTATTATTTATTAAACATTATAATCCCCCACCCCCTGTAGCAAGATGTTCATTCCTAGGATCTGATGTAGATAAGGCTAAGTATTGGGCAGGACGACAGTCTTCAGCAGAAAAGCGTAGCTTGTAAAAGCCATAAGAAACTCCTGGATCATGACGAAACTATTAGCCATCATGATCTTGATCTTTCTCTCTTTTTTAAAAAACTTTTCCTATAGGTAGGCCATGTGTATACAACATAGCGTTTACATGTGCTATATAATAGGATTATGTTATCTAAAGTTAAAATTATCAAGAACATGGTTCTTGACTAGGTAGATGACTGGAGTGATGAAGGAAACATATATTTGAAACAATGAAATGTACGTAGCTTTTAAACTAGACTAGCTGCATGCATTCCCCTGTATCCGCAGTTCTCTGTACTCTGTGAGCGAGCCTACTTACATTTAAAGGAGGAGAAATAAAACTCTGGAAGGAGTCTCTGTAATGATGTCTTTTTGTTTTATTTAGTAAAATACAAATATTGTTTCACTGCTTTTAATCCTGACTAATTGTTATAGTACAACATAGATATTAATTAAATCAAGAAACATCAATACTTAAGGTATAAAAATGTATAATGCTATTATTAGAGATTGGTGGCTTTTGTATAATATGAACAAAAAGAGTTAGGCCAACTCTAGCTAGAGTAAAAGGATTTAAAATTTAATTAAAACCGATATTTTTATTTACCTAAATATACCCAATAACGAGTGAGTCTAATTAATTATATACATACATACACACACATATATATAA